ACCCTTTCTAATCATCAAACCCATAAATCACAAGTTCATTTTTTTCTTTTTTCAGCAAAAAATCCATAAGAGATTTCCAGTCACTAATGAATGTAGTTATTGTCCTTTCTCTAATCAAGCAAGTCAATTTTGCCATCTCTGCTAATTATGTCATCTTCACCAGCCATTCCTCTGTTGTGGGTATTTCAGAGTTTTTCCATTTTTATGCATATAATAATCTTGCAGCAGTTATCATATATAAAAACAATTGTTGTGGCTCTTCTTCCTGACTCCCAAGGTCATTCCCACACAGCATTACAGAAACCCACTTTAAGAAGAATTCAGAGAAACTGGAACAGATTCAGATAAGGGCAACAAGACTAAAAACTAAGTCTTATGAAGAGAAATTGAAGGACCTAAGCATGTTTAGTCTTGAGAAGAGAAGACAAAGAACATGATAGTACTCTTCAAATATATGAAAGGAAGCTCCAGAAGCAGATTGAAACCCATTTCCCACTGTTTCAGAATGCAAGACATGAACTAATGTTGTTGTGTTACAAGAAGACAAATTCTGATTGAATTTTAGAAAAAACTTCCAACAGTAAAAGTAGTTCAACAACATAATCAGAGAAATGGTGGGTTCCCATTTCCTGAAAGCATTCAATGGGAGCCAGTTTGTGATCTGTCAGGGATGCTTAAATTTGAATTCTTACACTAAGAATTGAAACTGATGTCTTCTGTAGTGCCTATATGATTCAGCCTCTGTCATGACTGAACATACACATATATAAACGTGTAATACTCAGCCTCATGAGATAAACTGTTGATCCAATTTGCCAACTCTAAGGAGGCTTGTCATCAGCAGCACACACAGCAGAATTCATTAGGCAGACAAATATTGCATTATTTTATCCTCCAATGGTGAAAAATTAATGTACAAGATGGTCCTTGTTTAACAATCACTCGTTCAGTGATCGTTCAAACTTACAATGGCACTGAAAAAGTGATGGTTATGACCAGTCTTCATCTTTAAAGCCATCATAGCATCCCATGATCATTATTTGTGACCTTCCCTGCCAGCTTCCGATAAGCAAAGTCAGTGGGGAAGCCAGCAGGAAGTCGCAAGTTGCAGTCACGTGAGGTTCTCGCTTAATGACCTGTACAATCCTTGCTCAATGATGGCAACCAGGACTGCCAGAACTGCTGTCCTAAGTGGTGTGGTCATGTGTTTTTCAATTTACAACTATATCGCTTAACGACTGAGTTTCCAGTCCCAATTAGTGTCATTAAGTGAGGACTACCTGTAATATCCTAAATATATCATTTAAAATTCAGTAACCATGAGCAAAAGCCCTTTGTGCCTGCATGAACCAAAGGTAGAGTAGTTACAAGTCTGACCATTAGGTTGGTGAAGGGGGTCTGCACAAGACATTCAAAACTTTGCTTGCTAATGGTCTTAGGATCAATGAACTGCTACCTAGGACAGCGGACCTCTGAATATCCTATGGAAGAATGCCTAAGAAATTCCTTCTGGAGATCATATTCTTGGAGAACGATGTCTGCTACATTCTTGGTGTTCAGAAAGAAGCAACCTAACAACAGAGGATGCCTATATTTATCTTGCAATTCATTATCACCTGACAGGAAAGCATACAGGAAAAACAAGTCTGCAATCATTGCTACAGCATACCACTACATAAACACAATGCCAAGATTGCTCTGCACTGTAATGGAATGTTCATATGAGCTGACCTGCTACTGGGGAAAATGGCATTCAAAGAAGAGAAAGCTACCTTAAGCAGGAAGAGCTCTTTTTTAAAGTCGCTGGGATTTTTATACAGAGAATTGTTTATTAATGAAATGGTATACAAGAGTGCATTGCTTATTACATATTTTCTTTGGAATAAGCAAATAACTCCATGATTTTGGCTTTAAAAGCAGCATCCAAGTGGAGGATGAGAGTAGTTCTCCAAATCGCCACAATTTATAAATGGAAAAGCTAATGCAGAATGCACAACTTCTTACTAAATCATCAATTTCCAGAATATGCTCCTCCCTTAATTTTTATACAGATTTCACTGTGTTATTGTAGGATTTTTTTCAATGCTTAATAGGCACTGCAAAGGAAATCCACATCTAAAAATAGGCACTGCAAAGGAAGTCTATATCTAAAAATGTCAACATGTACAATTTGGAAAAAATAAGTCTCCTTTACCTGTAATCCAAGCCACTATTAATTATTAAAATCATATGTTCTTTTGTAACCCAAAATCTTTCCTAACCATGCAGCGGCACACTTTTTTTTTTCACACTAAATCCTGAAAACTTAATAAGATTTTTCCCAATTCAAACCCTTCAGGTTGCAAAAACGTTTATTCATGATTGAAGAATGGTTCAGAATGGCCCAGAACTCTAAGGTTTTTATGAAGAAAATTAATTGCTGTTTTCAAATTTTTATAGATGTTAATATAAATACTGAAGATTAAAGAGTAAACCCTTGATTCAGTGGACTAGTGAGGAAGAGAAGGAGTTATATCAAATTGCAAATGTGATTTTTTTGAGCCTAAAACACACAATACTCCCTTACACAAGAATACTGTATGAATAGTGAAATGATACTATAGCGACATACTATATTATTGTCTTTGAAGAAGTGCATAACATTTTTCACCGCTCTTGGATTAGGTGACTTGCTAATAATGATTAGTTTTAATCTATGTGATCCATCAGCATTTACACAAATTAACACCATAAATCATATTCTTGCTTTTGTCCTGGAACTGACATTTCACATTTGAAGGCCTGAGTGTTCTTGGGGAGTGAATGCCAGAACTAAGCATTTTCACTGACTTACAAATTGTGGGAGTATGACACCTTCATAATCAATTAGGTTTTTAAAATTTTTCATGAATGGTTTTATCTCCACCTTAGGACATTCAAAACTTTGCTTTCTAATATTCCTTGCCTTTTACAATATTGCCAAAGCCATCCATCATTAGCTCTGAAACTTAATTTCATGTGGTTTGCTACTGTATTAGTTTCAGAGCTTAGTTCCACTCCACATGCATTAATATCATATGAACTTTGCTGAACATACACTTTGACATTTTTCCTGTAACATTTTTATATATTTTCTTGCCCTAGCTACAGCTTTCTTATTGTAAAATCTACATTATCCATTCATAAAAAAATATTAAACTTTTGTTTTGCTTCATAATTATCTGGAACAATTTGTTTCTTTACACCTTACTCATCACAAATGCATGGAACAAATACCCCAATTCTAATTTTTAACCAATTTTTTTTACTCTCTCTTTTTTTCACCCCTCTTTAAGCTGTGATTGATTAAATACTTATGAAAGAATGTAGACCTGGCCTTGGGAAGGGACCAATGAAGTGTTAAGGGAGGAGAAACAGCAGCTCAGTCCTGGGAAAGTGGAAAGTGTGAGAACTAAGCTCAAAATAACTCTGCTTTGATTTTGTTTAAGATTAAGATATGGTGCAGAGAAACTCTCAGAGGCTTTCAAGACTCAGTTACTATACCCTACAACGATAAAGAGCATTTCTAGAATCCCTGCTACTCTTATTTCTTGACCTTGCCTACCTGAACACCAGTACTTGCAACAGTTGATTAACAGAGATGCAAAATGATATTTTATGCACTGAGAACTTCAAGAAGCAAGACAGCCATTAGTAACACTGAGGTCATTAATGTGCAGAATGAAAAAAATATATTCTGCACGTGTGCAGAAAGAAAGAAAAACTGTGTAGAGTGCAACAGTTAATACTCATTTTTGAGAAAAAGCAGCAAGTGTTACCCTGACTGATTTGCCTAACAACAGCCAGGTTTTCACAAGTCCCTGGACAGGAGCATGAGAGCCATCCCCATCATGAGGGGCAAGCTTTTCCAAAGGAGGGGAACCTGCACAGAGAACACCCACCATCATGCCCCTCATAATACCTCTTGACAGAATATGAATACAAAATATAAAATTAAAGTGACAAACCCAAGTGCTGCATTTCATTCTTATTTATTTATCTTCATTACGGTCAGAAAACAGAAAATAATAAATAAAAAACAATAGCACCATACAGAAAACATCCATTTTCAGCACTTTCTATGTATGGGTGTATAGTATTCTAACATACTATTTATTATGTTAGAAGAATGTATAAGTACACTAACTCCAGAAAAGGATTACATTGCTTCGACAATAGTTCTCAAAAGTTCATGAGCTCTACCCCATATGTGACGCAAAAGAAAAAAAAATCATATTTATTTTGATATAAGGCTAGCAATTAGCATTCAAACTTGATCGATTTTATGTATTTATGAGATCTATTCCCATATTTCTGCCAATGCATAGAGTATATGACTAAGCGCATTTGCCATTTATAATTTAAAATATTAAAAATAAAGCATATATTACAAAGTATCATAAAATAAGAAAAACAGCCCATGAAAGTAAAAGTAGGCTATGTGATGCCTACGGGCAACATTTTTTATGGACACCTACTTCAGCATCTACCAATCTCCCCTGAATCTCAATTTAACAAAGCACTGGTGTCGAGTATTTTCTTTATTCAAAAGAACATTTCTGGACCTCCACATATCCACCGCTTTGTTTAGAAATATGCCCACATTTCCCCCAGTAAAAAGACAAGGTATCCTGGAGTGCTAGGGGAGGTAATGGGGAGCACTGTCCTTGATTTGTAAATGGGTGCTCTGTGATTCACCCTGCCCATAGTGACAGTCATTTGGTCAGGCTGCCTGATCCTGCAATACAAAAGCATTCAATTTCCGCCACCATCAGCAGCCAAAATCCATTTCCAAGTCAAATGCCACTAATACTACAGTTGGAGCTAGTCTGATTCCTTAGTTCCCATGAGATTTTAATTATATTACATGCTATTACATTGCCATTTTTGAACAGCTTTAACAATAAACTGGCAGCCAGGTCAAAAAGACTGAACCTCCAACAGACTTTTTCTTTGTGATCCCTTTCTTATTTTTTGCTGACATTTTGTACCTTTATACAAATTCAATTGCCTGAATTATGTTTTTGAATATATCTAATCTGAGTTATACTATAAAACACTGCTGAACAGAAAATTCAGAATAAAATAGTGATGCCAGTCTTGGACTAGAGGTTTCGGAATACACCATGTAGCAGGTTCAGCCCCAGAAACTCTGGAACAGAAACAAATGCTTCTTAGCGGAGTGGAACTTAGAACTTAGAATGTCATTTACTACGTGGAAGACAATATGATGCACTTCGTGCTGGATTTGCTTCAAGCAACCAAAACACTACTTGCTTTATTTTGAGATGGAAAGGAGCTTTTCTGAACAACTAGAGCAGTAACAGATACCAATGGAAGATCAAGAAAAGCTAGCAAGTGAACTATAAGGCCCCTTTAACTACAGTATCAGTGTGCTGTCAACAGAACAAATCATGTCACCTTTGATAATGTACTATAGAAGATGAAATACACATACTTTAAATAAACAAATTTGCCCATGATTGTTTGGGTTCAGAAAAAGAAATCTATACAGGGAGATGCTACACGCATGCTACAACTCTAAAATAATGCAAATGCAAATCAGCATTTGATTACTTTCAATGCACTTTATGTTTGGGTAAGTTTGGCAAGCCTTCATCTAAGCAGCTGCTTGAAAACCCTGGGGCAGAGCCCAGATAAACTTGTTTTGCTGATGACCTTGCTTTTAGCTGGCTTCAAAGAAAAGGCAGGTCTTTTTCCTGGTGTTCACAAGCTGAAATTAACTGCAAAACACATTGTCTTCTACCTTCCTCTCTGTGCCCCAGTGCTGCAAGGTGTGGACTGAGAACAGCAGAATGTCTTTCAAACAGTTTCAGAAAGAACTTAGTGCTATTGGTTACAAGCTATGGCTTAAGCTCCAGAGACTACCCAAAGCTGAACCGTTGGAGATTGTCTGTTTTTTCATTATTGTCTTGTTCATTGGTAAGTATCAAACTTCCTACATGCTTGCAAGTGATCCAGACTCAGCAGAATCAGCTACTGTGTTTGATAGGAGCTCTAAATAGTGTGCTGCTTCATTGGCTTATTCTGTAATTTAAATCTCTTCTGATTTGTTAAAGACTGTAAAGCTCAGAAGGAACTAAATGTTTTAGTTCACATTGTTATAATTCTACCATAGGACAGTCTCAAGTGTTTCTCTGTGTATAATGCGATACAGCAAAGCTTTTGAATATAATAACATATACAATATTTAGAGAGCCAGTTTGGTATAGTGGTGAAGGCACCAGGCTAGAAACTGGGAGACCGTGAGCTCTAGTCCCACGTAGGCACAAAGCCAGCTGGGTGACCTAGGGCCAGTGACTTTCTCTCAGCCCTAGGAAGGAGCACTTCTGAAAAACCTTGCAAAAAAAACTGCAGGGACTTGTCCAGGCAGTCTCTGAGAATTGGGCACAATCGAACGGATTAAAAAAAAAAATTAAGTTTCTCCAACTGGGTGGTTTCATATATGCAGGACTACAATGTCTACAATTCCAAATCAGCATGGTCAACAAAATAAGGATAACAAGAATAAGGCTCTTGATTTTAAAACTGTATGAGCATCTTTTTCTTCCAGGTCTATGATCACTCTCTAAGAGGTAGTCCTCATTTAGTGACCATTTGCAGTTACAACGGTGACAAAAAAAATAACTTTACAACCAATCCTTGCATTTATGACCTTCGCTGGACTGTAAAGCAAAGGAAAGCAGAAGTAAAATCACAAGCGCAGCTGTGGTTTCACTTAGTGACTGCTCTGCTTAATGACTGAGTTGCCGGTCCCAATTGTGGCCACTAAATGAGGACTACCTGTAATTGGAAACATGCATATCTCAGCATTATGCTGAAGTATACATGTATACAACTGCACATTTCCCAGTGTAAAAAGAGGGGACACTTGAAGTATTACAAAGCAGAGTGTGTGGAGCAATATGAAATGTCTATGGTGATCTCTCCATGGAACATGTTCACTTCTGAAATACCCTAACATGTACATGTGTGAACCAGCTCTGAGGTAGACCAAGAGGAGTATAACAGTTCACAGAACAAATGAACATTTAACTAAAGCCTGTTAATTTTGAGGAAGACAGCAGAAATAAAGGCAGCCATAGAACATGTTAAAGTGCCAAAAGGAGAGGCTGGCAGACAAGCCTGAATAAACCTAAGCAAAGTGCTGGGTCTATTCCTCCCCTTTTTCTATGTGGCAAGGATAAGATTTACTACAGTGGCAAAGGAAAGAGGAAAACCTAGCATCTGTAGGAAATGAAACTAAATCCAGTAAAATTCTCCTCTTGTCTATGCAGAAGGAGAAGGGTGCATAAACCCAACACTTTGCTTAGGCTTTGTCTGTAACGCATATTCATCTATAACTACCTCTCCCTTCACATCTCCTCACTGAGTGTGGCAGAATGCACAACAATTTTAATTCTGTGCAAGCCCAAGAAGCTGGACAATTAAAAACAATAAGCCCCGATCTATAATTTGAATATCAAAAGGAATAGATTCTATCAGCGGTATTTTGTTAAGCATTATAAGCAATCCCAGAAAATACTTTCAAAAGCTACATCTGGCCCATATCTGCTACACTCAGTGCATAGTGAGTTAGATTGGTTCTAATTTCTGGTCCATTTCCAAAGCCAATATTCGTTGTCTTCTTTCACCTTTCAGCTACAATGCTTTCAATGATGATCATAGCTTGCAGCTTTTGCTGCAGCCGCTGTGGCGATGGGAGTCCAAAACCGAAGGGCAAAAAGATTCACGTTCAGCCTGCAGCCCATTTATAAAGCTGAATTTTAAAAAGAATACAGAAGCTGGGGAAAGACTAGGAACGACTCCAAGATGGCACACCAATCCATGGAACATAATGGTAGACGAGGAGACAAAGCAAGAGAGAGAGAGAGGGAAGAAGAAATTAAACCTGAACACAAGACTCCATTTTACAACATGACTTTTGTATGGCAATGATGAAAATGCAGCATTTGCAGTATTCTTCTCTCCCCAACCTATCAAGACAATGCAATTTTAAAAATCCCACAGAACTCCAAGTATAAAATCTGGGCAAAAATGCAGAAGCAAGTTACCCCAGATTTAATTTCTGCATTATAGCCAAGGAAGCTCCAGAGAGACCAAGATATGGGCAAGCATTCAGCAGAATGAAGTTTAACACGAGCATGGTTTCCCCTTGCTGCTGAACTATTTAAAGCCAAGTTAACCAGAGCGCATGATGTCTAAGCAAGTCATTCATTCAGAAAATGATGCAGACTTGAAGCTGACAAACAAGTTCAGAGACAGCAAAGAAAAGCAGCAACAAATTCTCTGTGCTTTTATTAAGAGAATAAACTGTCTTTGTGCTGTCAAAGAGAGCACATATATTACTCGCTGTAGCTGTTGTCTACCCAGGGATGAAAGCTGAAGGGATACGATAATGCTCACAATGCTGTATTGTTTCTTGTCTTAAAAATGTCGGTCTTTTTTAATATTTTGGTGTCTTCTGTTTAAACTTTGCATATGGCAAATCCTTAATTCAAAGAAAAGGGAACAAAAGAATCATTTGGCTCTATTATTGGGCTTAAGATTTATATATATGTCCTCTACGAATACTCCTGAGAATAATTTATAGTTGTGGTAGGTTCTTGTTATATTTAAGGCAGTTAAAATATAAAATATAACTACCAAAGGGGGGAAAAAAGACAGCTCTTGGACTGTATGCATGGAAGAGGCATTGTAACAGGGATTCTTCCTACCATTCACTGAGGCTTGCAGTTTAATCCTTCACCCCCTTCATTGGGGCCTGTGGTTTAAGGTGCATTTATACACCAAGAGATCAGACAGTGGAAGCAGGTTTAATTCAGGAAATGCGTGCAACAGCTGGACAATAGCATTACACCAAACAGTAGAGCAAAAACATAACCAAGAACGAGCTACCCAGCTACAGCTTACAACAGAGTACAGATCCCTTTCCAAAGAGACAGATCTTTTATGTACAGTACGCAGTTTCCGCTTCAGTGGATTTCAAAGGGAGTTACATGTGTACAAAAGAGAAACAATGGCACTTGACCTGTGTAAGTAGAAATAGAAAAGTTGGTGGTGGATAAGAGGATGGAAGAATTGAACTTTAACCTAGCCTTCTCCAATCTACTGCTCTGTAGAGGTGTTGGACTATATCTGTCATCACTCCCAGCTAATACTGCTGGGGATTATGGGTGACATACTCCAATACGTTTTCAGGGCAGCACATGTATTCATTTTGATACTACGTCTGTCATGATATTTAAGAGCCATTAAGATTTGATCAGTGAAAATGGGCAACTGAAGCCTTCTCTCCCACTTCACAAATTGCGACCAGCACGTGTTTAGACTGACAGCCTGAATGTTTCCATCCTTTCCTATCACTGATAAAGACTGTATTTGAACTCATTGACCAGAACTCTCTTATTCCCTGAAACACATCTATTATGTCTTTTTCTCTGTTTTGAAAGATGGAAGCATCAAACAATACTTTACAATAACTATCAGAAAGCAGGGGAGTTTTTCAAAGAAATGTAGTATAACCATACTGTAATTTTGCAAGAAAGCTTAAAATAGGATGTTTTAGGACAATATGTCATCAGATACGTTAAATCAGCAAAGCTGAAATTCTACAGTCTCTGAAATGCACTCTTAGGGACCATAGGATTTTTTCATCTCCCTCTCTAAGCACAGACAGAGAGAAAATTTCAATTTCAGGTTTTCACCTGTCACTGTAAAACCATCCACTTCCTCCTAACGTTGGAGCTATGGTGTTGGAAGAAGGAGAGAGAAAGGACAATTGAAAGGGTGACATGAGCAGACTGGGCACTGACTCTGCAGGCCTAAACTGCAGGATCCATTTTATTTTCTGCTCAATAAGTACTAATTCAATGATACAAATGCACTTTTTTGTCCCGGCCCTGCCATTTTTGGGTGTGTAACTTTTGATGGTATACGTATACAGGCAGTCCCCGGGTTAAGAACAACCAACTTATGGACAACTCATACTTACAAACAGGCTGCCTATTACTAAAAATGGTGGATGGCATTCTCCTGCCTCAAGCCGACAAATAGCTGAAGCCGCACGATGTTTTCATGAACTGCTGAAGCTGCGCGTTTTTAATATAACAGCAGTTTTTCAGCGGTTCATAAAAACTGCAGCTTCAGTGGTTTGTCGGCTCAAGGAAGGAGAACACCATTCACCGTTTTTAGTAATAGGCAGCCCATTCATAAATACAAGTTCCGACTTACGTACATATTCGAGTTAAAGACAGACTCAAGAACAGAACTCGTTCTTAACCTGGGGACTGACTGTATACACGTATACAAGTAGGCACCTGCACACATTTCTTGGAAGGAGGAGAAATCTCCAGAATTACAGCTGGAATTAGCAACAAAAGGGTGAGAAGCTGTGGAAGCTGGACACTGCATGGATTTTTGTTTGTTTATAATTGTTTTCCTCTAGCTACTGTTTCTTTTGAGGGGATCACCTTAAATTCAGAGTCATACCCCTTTGGGGTAAATACGGTAGTTACCTGTTACCACAATAGACAATCTCATAGATCTCTAGTAATATCCTATGATTCCACATTTTTGAATGATATAGATTAATAAGCCCTTAGATATTCTGGTTCAGCACTTTAGGTATGCTGAATATATATGTCATATGTCAACTAAAACTGTATACCTTTTTGACTCAAGCTTAGAGCAATGTACCAGTTATATACTGTGCCTGAAAATATTTAATTCTTCCAAATTCCTGCAATCCCAGGCAAGTTACAATACCAGATTTATCAAGCCTCAACCAAGTTGCTATGCAGTACTGCTGCATTAAGGTAAGATTAAAGTTGTTTTTCAGTTTTTTCTTAGCGGGGGGGTGGGAAACTTATGGCCCAGACACGTAGAACTATAATTGGGAGGCACCTCAGTCAACACAAGTAATTATCAGAGATACAGGGAGCTGCATTTCAGCAACATCTGCCAGTAAGTTCTATTTCTATACACTATGAAGAGTGATGAAAAGCCACCAGTATATTTATTTTGGGTGTGCACTGTTTCAGAAGTCACTCCCTTGTGCAAATGACAGGAATAAGAAAACAGCTTCAGCAATCACTAAGACACAAAGATTAACTTGATTTCAAACATGGCTGCTTTTTTATAATTGCACAGCTGCCAGACATTTAGAGAGAACAAGTTAGCTAAGCAATCCTATAGCTAAATC